AACTTCAATGGTATGGCAGGATCATGGGCTATGCTATTTGATTTCAGGTCAGCAAGTTGGCAAGCGAGATCAAAGACCTCAAGATGTCAAGCCTCAAAGAAGCCGCAAAGCTGGTTCGTGATGTCAAGCAATATCACAAAGAAGAGGAACTAGTGTTCCGACCCGGCATGTCATGGCAAGCGGACAACATTGCTGTGGTGGCGGTGCATGACGCCTCGTTCAACAACCTTCCAGGTCATAAAAGTCAAAAAGGGTATTGGCTTGGGATTTCCACGACGGAATTGATGAAGGACAGAACAAGTTTGCACCATATTCACTTTGTGCACTGGACTTCATCGAAGATTCAACGTGTGGTGAGGTCAACCCTGAGTGCAGAAGCCTACTCATGTTCTGAAGCCTTGGACGCTCTCAGCTGGCTTCGAGCGACTATCCTGGAAATCCTACATGGAGAGTTGGACATGCGCCACTATAAGGACCATTTGCATCGTGTGCCAGGAGTCACTGTGACAGACTGTCGATCGCTTTATGATTGCATGAAGTCTGAAAGGGTTCTTCTTTCAGACAGGCGACTTTCATTGGAGGCAGCAATCATTCGACAGAGTCTACAAGAAGGCATTGAGTGCAGATGGGTTCCTTCAGAACAGCAACTAGCAGATGCCTTGACAAAAGCGTTGCGCAGAAAAGGTCTTGTCTATTTGAACGATGTTCTCTACTCCAACAAATGGACACTCGGTCCTGATCCACGACTACCTGAGACCTCAAGAAGCAGGAAGTTGGAGATTCCAGAGACAAAGCCAAAGGAAGACAAAATTCAAGACCATGAGGAGGCAGAAGAAATCAACAAGAGACCCATCGAGATTGAGAAAGAAGAAAGCCCCAACAGTACCGCCTCAGCAAATTCGACATCCGTTGATGCAGGTGTATGTTCGAAGTCAATACTGATGCTCTCGATTGCGCAGCAATTCCTTCCAGCAAAGGCAGAACAGCAGGACGTAAGGACGATTCTGTGGTGGCCATCCTGGGAGTTGATGTTTGCGTGCTTGATCATCGTTTTGACGGCAGCTCTTTGGTACAACACGACATACTACACCCAATTGTTTCGATGGTATGAAGACCTAGCATTGTACAAACAAGGCGCTCTTGTTGCAACAAGCACAATGCTGGTGGTTTTTGTCGGAATGCAGGCGAGGTTTTCACAGAATTCAGAATGTTTGACTTTGATGTTGGGAGCCATGATGGTAGCAATGATGATGATTGTGAAGCGAATTGATGAAAAGTCTCAAACAACCTTTGCAATCATGGGCCAAGAGAGAAGAAGGACGCGTGAATTGATCGATGGTGGCATGAGACAGCTGTTCAATGAAACGAACATTTTGCTGACAGGGATGGACAACATGAAAGGAGCCATCAATGCGGACTTCAAGAAGATGTCGCAGTTCATCGCAGACAGCAACAGATTCACATACCAAAAGATGGATGACATTTCAGAAGAACACAATTACAGGATTACCAAAGTCATCGACAGGCTGATCCGCATAGAATACAAGCAGGAAAGGCAAGAAGTCAGAGCTTTGGACTTGGAGAAGAAGTTGAAGCAAAAGAAAAGAGCAAGGACCCCTTCAATGAGTGAAGAGGCCAAAAGAGACATCCTGCAGAAGAGACAGGATCGAAGAGAAGCGCCCGGTACTCCAACAGAATCCGAGGTGATGAGCATTTTGGATACGCCAGAACCGCCGGAGCTCTATCTTGGAGAAGGTGACGGTAGACTGGCACCTCATGAAGATGAACGGATGGAAGAAGAAGATGATGAACCAGAGACAACAAAGTTGATGAAGAACAACACGATCACACAAGAGCTCTGGGAGCAGTCAACCACAAAAGAGAGAAGATATTTCTTGCTGATGGTGATGCTGGAAGCTGTATGCATGTATGGTGATGACGAGATCAGGAATGACATCATGCAACAGATGCAAATCCTGGCAAGTGAAGTTAATGAAGAAGCGGTGAGAAGAATGGCTGGAGCAAGCGGCTCGCAGCAACAACAGGCCATGGCAGTGGAAAACGAGCCACAGAATGTCGAGGAATGTGAAGAAGATGACTCATGACAACCCATGTCTCGTTTTCACACCATGCAGGTGTACCAAACCGGTACATTCCATGGGCCCTTACGGCTCAAATCCCGGAGGCCTTGAGCCCCTCGTGCGCGCGGTTGCAAAACCGTGTGCATGGGCACTTAGCGCACTTGACAATATATATATATTATTGCCGAATGGATGCCAGATGCTGGGAAACCCTAGAGAACCCGCAAGCCAAAACCCACAGAACCCTAAGGAAGCGCCCCAAGTCCACCCAAAAAGACATCCAGAAGTCCAGAAGTTAAGTAGCGAAATTTGCAAGCCAAGCCCAAAGCTGTAAAGAACCGGAACCCGGAAGCCAAACTCAAAGAGACCCGAAAGAAGCGAGCCTTGAAAGCAGATCGAAGCCCAAACCCGGATGCTGGTTGGCGGGTGCCAGATGCCGGGGCGAGAAGACCGGGGCCGGATGCCGGTTGAGGGTGCCACATGCGGGGGCTGGATGCCGGATGTGGGGGGCAAATGCCGGTTGCCGGCGGTTGCTGGGCGTGGGATGCCGGTGCCAGATGCCGCGTACCCGATGCCGAGTGCCGGAATACAAACCATTTAAAGCGTACACTTGCAGGTTTGTTGGCCATAGTGCGAGTATTTTAAGTTGTCGATTCACGAGTGCTTTGACTCCATTCACCAAAAGATGGAAGGGTTTTTGTTACCCACAGTTGCCCAAACTTTGTGTTTAGGGGTTACAAAGAAAGAAACCTCACATTCTTGGTTTGACCTGTTGGATGGATTGACTTATAGGAGTCAAGTTGTCAAGACTGTGAGGAGACAAGCCAGACGAGTCTCAGAACACGAGACCAGACCTGGAGGTGAGCCGTCACTCTGGTGTTCTTTTTGACCTTGATGCCATAGATCCCAAAACGTTGTTCGCTTCAGCTCTTCATAGTTGTACCCACTTCTTACACATAAAGCCAAGCAAACTCAAAGAGTGTTGCGTGCTCCTGAGCTGTCTTGCCCCCTGTGTTCCTGGATTTGGAATCTGGGAAAGGCAGTCTTGATCCCAAACAATTGATGTGAGAGTACACGAGTATGTGAACCAAGCGGTTTCAACGAGTATGTGAATCAAGCTCATTTGCAAACCTTGAGCCATTTCGATGTCAGAGTGAAACTGACCTTCCTTAGCCCGAGTGAGACATCTGGTGAGTGAAATTGACCTGACCTGAAGCTGTATCAAACCGTCGATCTGATGAGCATGTCCGGTCCAGTCTAAGACCGAGTGTAAGGCTTTCTTAAGACGCAATGCGCAACACGTGCACTTGCGTAAAGAGAAGCTGTCCAAGTGCGCTTAGAAATCATAAATGACGGATGGAGCCGATTGGCCGCTACATCACTTTCCAAGTCCACCTCCTCCATATCCCCACCATCCGTCTTGAAAGAAGGAGGTGTTGACGCCTAGTGCCGCTCTTTCGTTGAGCACGCTTCGACCGACTTCAAAGTATTCTTGACACACGCAATGCACAACAAAAAAAGCCGGCTGAGTGGAAGGGAGTCAAATTAATGAGAACATGTTGGCCCGATGCTATCAATGGCATGATGTTAGGGGCATAATGAAAATGACCCTGACACCCACGTGCCTGGCCGCTGTCAGATTGTTTCAATGCAAGACCTTGTGACTAATGGGAACCCAAGGGAAAGGGAGGACGAGGGAATCAAGTTAGAACAGAAGAGGAAATAGGGTGTGTATATATATAATTCTTTCCGCTTGTCTTCGATATGTGGGTGGCTTGTGTCACAGACTGTTTGTTTGGCCTTTTCATTTTTCAATTTCTTTCTCAATCTCTTACTGGCATTGTTCCCCGTAAGGCTGCTTGTTTCATTGTCCTTCACGTTTTGGCAGCTTGCTTTTCAATCTGTGCCTTCGAGTAGCATGTTTCGCTGCCTCTGTAGGGTTTCGCAGCTGTATTGGAATTGCTGTTCAAATGTGTTGAGTGCCCGCATTCTGACAAGGGCCTCATGTTTTTGAGCCGCAATGACTTTTCACACTCCTGTTCCCAAGGTGTCTTCGACATGAGTTACCACTGTCTTTCACAAAGACTGTCCCTACTTGCAGCCTTTGAGATTGAGTGTCTTTTGAGACAACCCAAGCAACTCTAGAAGATTCAATGTACATTTAATTAGGAATTCTTAATATTGGATCAACTGATCTTCACAAGGCAGTGTCTCCTGAGGCCTCCATATTTGATATAACTCGGAAATACCGTGAAAGACAGTCCCTACCCGTGAAACACAGTCCCTACCCATGACAGAATCGTGAAATGGAGGCCTCACCAGGGGATGACAAACATATATATGCTGTTACAGCATTCAAGAGAGATAAACTGGTGCTCTATTTATGTATCGTGTCGTGTTTAAAATAGTTTAGCTGTTGAGAATGAAAAAGCCATGGTCTTACGCTGCCTTATAAAACCACACAACCGTGATTGAGCGTGAATGTGACAACGACGTCAGAGACATGAGTTACCAATGTCTTTGGACTTACTGGGTGTTTTTTGCTGACATATTGATGAATATTGGATGTACAGCAAGCTGGCGACTCGAGCCTGACAGAGGAGGAGAGAAAGACACATTGCTGGCAAATGTGGTGTTTGTGGTGGACTGTCTTGCAGGTGTCTGAACAATTTGGGAGTTGTACTTCGGCAGTACTTGCGCTGAAAGTGAGCATGGTCAAAGCCAAAGCTATTCATTTGTGCAAGCAAAGAAGATTTGCAATGCACGGATGCCTGTAGTTGCGCAGGAGGCTTTGCACAGAGGCGCTTCTTACAGTGCTAGCCCTCGTGTTCCCGCGTGGTGGGTTGATCCACATTAGTTTGGTGGACGTTCTAACAAAAGCCGTCCCACTTTTGAAAAGTTTTGTTTGTGCATCCTATCGATTGGATCAATCCATATCGCTAGTCGTTCCTCAGCATTTTGGGCTGGACACGAAGACAGCCATCGTTTGGACACTAAAAGGAAGAAGTTTGGCACTAGTCACTAGTCAGTTGAACAGCTAGTTGTTCAGTCGTATCCATGTGCAGCGCATCTATCCTGCTAGTCAGCTTGCTGTTTACAGAACGCGCAGATATGTACCTAAATGCAGACGAATTCAATGTTCCTCGTTGGCGTTCATGAATTGGTTTGTGTGCAGGATTGTGAGCGCTCGCTTTTGCCAGGTGTTCCTCTTCGTGTTCCCCATTTGTTCTCCAAACATGTGAAATCAAGACTTGAAGCTTCTTCGCAGCCTCGGGTGTCGCAGTCTTTCACCAGTCGCCGCTGTGCACTAGCGCATCCAGGTGCGATATCGGAATGACATGTGTTGCACAAATGCCTTCAGACTTCAGACCTTTGGATAATAGTGTTTACACAAGCACTCAAATCAACTCAACCAAAAGTGTAGTAAAGCGCATCTCACCTCTTTGAAGTTTCCGAGAGGATCTGATCGAGACTAGCACCGGCCAGTATGGTGAAAAGTGCGACCATCAAACTGCCTTTTAATTTCATTTGTTTGCCTGCGAGGTGACACAGATGATCGGTGAGATGGAGAAGAATATAGGCAATCTATCCAGGCAAAGCGGCAACAGTCCAGACAGCCACAGATTGGACAGATTTTGTTCTTTGGTGGCAGGAGTAACTCAACTGATAGCACTGGCTGCGACTGTGGGTCTCAGTCTCGCTCTGGCGAGGGCCACGGAGTGTTATTCCGATTCCCATGCTACTGTTTGACACTCTCATGCCCAGGATCTGCTGGCTCGCTTGGGATGCCCACCACTCCCAAGCAGGCATGCAAGGGTATTTGAGGGGTTGGATTGGGCTGTTTGTTCTTTCTTGTTGCTTTCAGGAGCAAGCTCAAGGGTTGCAGGAGATTGTAAGTGCACAAAGCTTTGCCGTTGGAACGGTTCGTGGTTTTCCCTTTTCCTTTGAAGGTTGTTCTGACTGGAGGAACTCCTTGAGTTGAACTATCCCTCACCAGTCATTGTAGTCCATGAGGACCTGACGCAGACTCGAAGATGAGAAGACAGTCGAAAGTTAGAAACCATTGAAAACAATACAATAAATATGTCTTTCAGTTTGTGTTGAGATCAACAATTGGCAGCTCAGGGTATTCGTTGAGTTGGAGTGAGGTGGTGGTGAAGTAGAAAAAGGGAAATGAACTGAACTGGTAGATCTGGTTGATCTCAGGTGCCGGCCCACGAAGTCCAGCCAAGATACGAATGCCGCACTCTTTTCCAAGGTGCAGGTGTCCTCGGGAGGTGTGTCTCACCTCAAGACGTAGCCACAAGGCTTACCATGCGCAAGCCCACCCTTAAGGTGAAATGGTTGCGGGCATGAAAACTCACATCACCTGGTTTCACGGCGTGAAATTCACACAGGTGAAAAAGTGAGAGAAGAAAAACAAACACTTCTCGAAGGGAATGCTCTGTCTGGCACCGCTCAAGGTGTTGCTTTCAAAAGTAGAATTCCAAATTCTAAGGCGCATCGAATCCAGCTTCTCTTCGTTCTCTTCTAAAACTCAACGACCAGTAGTCGTCATTGGTGGGGATGCCAAGGATTTCACGTGCCTGGCGCAGCATTGTCCTGCCAAAAGCGCCGATGCAAAGAGAGCATGGTGCTCTTTCTTGAATCTCATGCATGGATCGGCATTCCAAACAAGCTCGATCTCGATGAAACACGGTGCCGCTTCTTGTAAAGTAGAAGCTATGCCGGTCGAGTTGTTCCATGATCGTCACGATCCTTTCCTTGATGAACTGGTCTTTCTCAAATTGAACATCATGCAAGATCCTTTGGATCTCAATGTAGCGCTCCTTCATGGCATTGCGCTGCTCTTTGACTGTTTCAAAGTTTTCTTTCAACTGGTTGAAGGCGTCGATGAGCGCTTCACGATCATTCACTGTCACTTCATGCTCTTCCATGAGAGCTTGATGCTCCTCGTGGAGGATGTGGTTGTTCACCTGCAAGTCATTGAGTTGACGGTAGCACTCTCGGAAGCGAGCCTCAAAATGAGGAAGGTCCCACTCAGTCATGGTGGTGGCATCCAAGACATTTGTTTCCTCAGTCTGGGTGCTAGAGTCCGTCAGGTTATCGTCCACAATGGTTTCATTGTCGTCGATGTCAGGGTCGTCTTCTCTATTCATCAGCTGTCTCCAGGGGATCGCTGTCCATAGGAGGGGTAGTAGAAACAGAAGACCAAGTAGTATGGTACCACATAGGACCCATAGACTTGTAGTAGGTGAGGTTGAGGTTGTAGTGGGGTTACCAGTGGCTTGTGCAAGTGTTGTTGTACCCATCATGAACATGGCTTGCATAGCTCGAGAAGCACGCTTAACTGCAAACATCTCCGTGTTTTTCTTTCGTGTGTGGGCATCCTTTTTCTTTGCAGCTTGAAAGCCTTCGTCGGAGGTGATCTTCGTGACATGTGTTCTCAGGCGGTCAGCCAGCAGTTGCGAACTGTCAGCCTTCGTGAGGCTTTCTGCATACTGCATCTCCGAACTCACCCATTTCACTGAAGCGCGGCAAGCGCGAAGTTTGTCTTGACAAACCAACGTTTCTATTGCCGTGCGCTTGTCAGCACCACATGCTGCTTGGATCTCGTCCTTGGTCAGCAGGTCGTAGAGGGCTTTTGCGTCCAGCACCATTGATGGTGGACGAACCAGGACAGGTGTCTGTTCATCCTCAAGTGCCAGGTGTGGTTGCCACAGAATCTTCCAAAAGGTGGTGACAAAAAGAAGGGAGTCAGCACACTCTGAAGCCGCTTGGCTCTCGGCCGATAAGGAAGAACGGGCGACCCGGGGCAAACGCCATGACCTCCAATCAATGACATTGTATTCGCCAGTTGCTCCATGCAGGATGGAGTTGCGAACCAGGACAGATCTTTGCGACTGGCAAAGCTTGCATCCGTGTAGCCCAAAAAGGTCACTTCCCTTGGATCACCATTCAGGGCATGGTAGCGAAGACCAGCGTCAGCATTTGTCTTTGCCATCCTGAGAACTTTGTTGGCCCGATCGATGGTGTCCACCGTAGCCCTAGTGATCTCACCGGACAACTGGGAAGCTGAACATTGCAAGAAAGGCGCCGTTTGCGTTGATGGCCACTGAAGACCACCTAACAGGCCTCTGAGCATGGAAGTTTCCTTTTCCGTCAACAAGGAGGTGCTCTGCTTCTTTCGCTCTTCTGGCAGCGAAATTGGTTTCATCTTGTGAAGGTAGTGCGACTGGTGGAGCAAGGTGTAGTTCTCCTTCTTTTCAATTTTACAGCCACAATACCCCAGTTCACCAGAGTCCAGCCACATTCGAAAGGTGAAGAGCTTTTGAAGTTGTTCCTTGACCTCCAAGAAGCGGTGTGAATCCATGTTGCCACCTCCTACCAAATCATCCACATGGATGCCAAACAAACCAACAAGGGCGCCAGGTTCTTCAGGGTTGAGCTGATTGGGCATGTCCAAATCAAAAATCATGAACATGCAAGCGTCCAAGGGGTGTTGCTTGATGCCAGGGATGCTCAGGATCCTCGAGACGGCCTCGACGTACCAGCTGCGTGGTGCATCAACAAGACCATACATGCTCTTGTGCAATTTCATGACTTTCTCCTCACCATCTTTTATGCCAAGGAGCCTTTGTGCGTCTCTGGGGAGACGAACCCAGAGAACTCGTTCAGGTCCATGAGGCTTTCCTCGCAAAAAGGCAGTGCTGATGTCCGAGGTAAAATGACGAAAATGAAGCATCTCGCAAATCGACAAAATCATTCCTCGGCTCAGTCTTGTCAAGGTGGGAGAGTTTGTATTCAATGCACCAGAAAGAGCGTCGGGATCTTGAAATCCTCTCAAAACCAGGCGAGCCTTTGCTTTTGTTGACTTGTCAGGTTGCACTTTCCAGGTCAAAATGAAGCGAGCCGTCAGGATTCGTTCACTAGGAGCATTCTTTGGATCCTCAAAGGTCCAAACGTTGTTGGTGAAGAAGGACTCGAGCTCCTTTTGTTTTGCTTTTGTGAACGAAAGGCGGTCGGCAAGGCTGAGGTGTCGTTCACTGACTTCATTGTCTGCCTTCTTTGCCATGGTCTTTTGACCTTGAGAAACTGCATAGAACTGTTCGTGTGCAGCTTTTCGATCACAGGCGTTGATCTTGAAGCGAGTCTGACCTGTCCAGACACCAGTGGAAGTGGTGCCTTTCTTCTTCCAGCGATCATGATGATGTTGTGAACCATCATAGGAGTCACGATCTTTGGTCAGGTACTCCAGCTTGATGGGGCAGTCCTCTGTGGTCGGAGTATATGTTCCAACTCGTGGCAGGAAGTGGTTCAAGATGAGGTGATTGCCACGAAGTTCCCACACATCATGCACTTCTCCCATGACCACAAACCCATCTTCACAATGCCAGCCATCAGGAAGCTGACAATCATTCAAAAGATCAATGCCGATCTCCTGCGTGGTGAGGGCAGAGTCATCACTGAGTGGCTTGTTGCCATAGGGAGTCGATCGAGACTCAGTCGAAGCCTTTGCTCTGGATGGCCCAAAGGAAATGGTCTCTTGCTGACTGAATCGCTTGGCCTTTTCAGAAAAAGTTTCTCCAGCCTTCTCTTTATAACTTTCATCTATTTCCCCCGTCGGGTCACCTTCCTTTTTCACAAGCTTTTCAGCTTCTGGCAAAACTTCCCCCGAAGGGTCACCTTCCTTTTTCTCATGCTCCAAGGGCATTGGCAAAGATGAAGAATGTGCTTCTTCAACTCCAATCCGTGGTACTTTCGCAGGTCCAGGTTCTTCAGGTGGTTCCGTGGGAGTGTACTCCGAGTTGTTGTCAGCTTCATCACTGGCGTCGCTATCATGTGTGGTCAATGATCTCTTGAGTCCATGAGGTTCAGGACAGAGACTTTCTGGTGGAGCGACTTCAGTGTTGGGCATATCATCATCTTCTTCTTTCTCCTCATCAGACTGCGCATCTTCCAGCTTTCTCTTGTTGGATCTTGACAGGTCGAGGTACTGAGTGACTCCACGACCGCGAATCTGCTGGAGGGCTTGGCGTGCACGATCCATTGGACCTGAGGAGTCCTTGACATCGGTCTGGTTGTTTTCGATGATGGGGCGTGTATGCTCAAATGAAGCTCGGATCAACACTGTACCATGCACAAGCCAGTACATCTTCTGTTCAGCATCGACCATCGCAACAACAGCGGGGCCACGCCAAACAATCTTGGGACCCAAAGCAGCTTGTCCAGTTGGCAAGTCCCTGTAGTAGTGACATCGCTGTCCCAAGACCAGTTGCTGCGTGCGTCCACGGTATTGTCGAAGTAGAGCACGACGAAGTCTGTCATCATTGCTTGCCTTTGCTATTGTATGTGTTGCCAGCTCTTGGAAGTGCATCTTCTGTCGGAAGGCTTCTGAGGGTGTCAACTGTGCAGGAGCGATTTGTTCATCGATCATAGCACCTGGCAGGTTCGGAGTGTAGCCAACTGTCCATTGCAGTGGAGAGAATCCATGAACATTTGGCATCCTGTTCACTTGAGGAATCACATAGCATAGGGCCTGGATGATGCCGTCGCCAGTATAGTCTTGTGTGTCCAGGAGAAAAAGTTCAACAGCTCGTCGAACCACTTGATGACGACGTTCCAGGATGCTCAATCTCTCGTGAGCTTGGCCAGGGCTGATCATCAACTCCACATTGTGCTCTGATGCCCAACGTCGCATCTGGTCACTGCACCAAGCTCGATGTTCGTCTACCTGGAGGACATTCATGGTGCCAAAGTGGCGAACCCAAGATCGTTCCAGAGCTTGAATGAAGTCATTCGTGGTCTCCGAAGCCAACAGTCGAGCAGCTACCAAACGAGTCGTGCAGTCAGAAATGACCAAAATCGGAATTGGCCGAGAAGATTCATCACGTTTCAGCTTCAACCACATAGTGTCAGCCTGAACACGGTCATTGAAGAACGTGCCCCGGTATAATCCAGTCTTCGGAACTTGTGGTGGAGGTTGTCTGTGCTGACACAAGGGGCAATCAAAATCTTCCAAGGCCTGCATGAGAAGGTCATTGCACTTCTGTTCTTGGAGTACTCGTCGAAGTTGAGCTTTGGGAGGATGACCAAGATTCCTGTGAAGGCGAGCGATCGTCCGGGTGGCTTCAGAAGCATTCTTGGGGATGAGTCGCTTCATGATGCCTCTGTATTGTTGTTTTTGTTTTTCAGGCTCAACATCTTCTCCAACGTAGATCTCCTCCATCAGGAAGTGGTGGATTGCTTGAGCCAAGTGTTGACACATGGAGGGCTGATAAACTGCAGCAGCTGAAGCACGATTGCCAATCATCGGTGAACTGCCTTCAAGTGGAAGATGACATGGGCAACCAGGACATGTGGCCGTGATCAACTCAGCCAGCTTGGGATCAGACGCTGCCAAGGTAGTAGGCTTTTTGATTGGAAGCCATTGTCCGTCATGATCAGGTAGTCGATCTCCGACAGCACATTGATCCAAATGTCCTTTGTACCATTGTTCATCCATGCTTTTGAAGGTTCTTGTCTTCCAACTATCAGAAGGTTTGGGTGACTCCAAGATGGCATGGTCTTTGCGCTTGAGCTGATTGCAGTACACTTTCTTTGAAAAACGAAGGTGCGTGTTCTCTTCAACATCACGTTCAGCTTGAAGCACTTCATGTTGCCATGGTTCCCGACATCGAAGTCGTTGAAGAGGACTCCATTTTCGACAAGGTGGGGCGAGCCAAACAAAGCGAGGAGCCATTTGTTCCTGGAGATCCAGGAAAGCTTTCTGATGAGCACGCTGTGTGAAGTCCCAACCATTGTTGATGTCGAAGGTCAGAACTGCATGGCCAAGGTTGGCGAGTTCCTTGCTGAGGTTACCGCTGCCACTGTATAGTTCCCAACTTTGAAGCTGTCCCTTCTCATAGACGGCCAAAGCCTGATGAATCATATGTTTCTGTTGAGCCAGTTGATATTGTTGTTGGTTTTGGATGCTTTTCATCAACTTCAGGCCAGCAGGCTTGTAGACAGCTCCGGGGTCTTCATCATAGTTCATGTCTTGCCCAGAAACATCAATGATGTCCTCGTCATCGACGTGAAGGAGCACTTCACCCGGAGAGCGACCTGTCTGTTCCAAATAGCTCTGAAAATCAACTGTGCCGTCATGAAGGTCGGGGACATTCTCAATGGTGTCGTCGGTCATGAGGTCGAAATGCCAAAGTTGGGGTGTCCATTCTTGACCATCAAGAAACATGGACATCATGTATTCGCCTTTTGAACCTCGTTGAGCGTCATGCCAAGGTGCATCGTTGTAGGACAGAGTGTCCTTCTGGTAGTCGATCTTGATGCCAAAGTGGGCCAAAATTGGCCTGCCAACCAGGAATGGAGTGTTGCCATCAACAATGAACACTTGGATTCTTCCGGACTTGGTGTCAATGATCACCGGCAAGTGAACCGACCAAGCAGCATGTCCAGTGTGGTCTCCTCCAAACTGAAACAACTTGTTGGCGGGGCGAAACTCAACGCTTCCAATGTCAACACCATGATGTTGCATGTAGGTGACAACCATGAGCATAGTTTGGTGTCCCATCACAACACTGCTTGCTCCAGTATCCAAGATGCCAAAAACACCTTTGCCCTGCGAGGTGACGTCTGTGTAGCCATTGACAGGCAATGCCATCATTGCAGCTTCACTCTTCTGTCGTTTGGGCGATGAGGTAGTTGAGGAACTCTTCGGCGATGAGGTGTTCATTGGACATTGTGCCGCCCAATGTCCAGCTTGTCCACACTTCAAGCAAGTCAAATTGTATCCAGCACTTTGTGTACGTGCGGTCAAATTCCTGGATGGACTCTTGCTCTTGCTCTTGTTCTTTCCTTTGCTCTTGCTTTTGCCTTTCCCTTTCCCTTTTGAGGAGGGTGGAAAAGGAATCGAAGGCGCTGTCGAGCTTGAAGCCATAGGCGAGGAAGTGGGAGGCACTGCATATACGGGCCAAAAACCACGAGATGCTTTCAAATCTGAGAACCGCTTGCGGGCATCCAAATAGGTTGCATAAGCGGTCTCAACTTCTTCATCCCACTCTTCTTCCAGGAAGGCGTGTTCGTCTTCACCAGGTTGTTCCTGGTAGAAACCGGTCTCGGTGGTCTCATCTTCCTCAGGGAAGTAGTCGAGCTCAGGATTCTCCTCCTCCAAGGTGTAGGCCTCATAGTCGAGCTCTTCATCATCATATGGATATTCTTCTGTCGTGTACGCTCGGCCAACATTGCGGCTCTTCCAGGATGAACTCGAATTGCGACCAGTCCAGCGGGTGGAGGATGAAGTCTTGAAATCCTGTCCAAACAAGAAATACAATGCACTCTCCACCTTGGCGATCTCAGTGTCACTTCCAACTTGTGACATCACAAGGTGGCGTTGTTCCAAGGTCAAACCAGCTCTTCGAAGGAGAAGCCAGCCGCTGATGGCATCTGGCACTTTGATGCCATGGCGTTCGATTTCACGTTGTCGTTCTTTGTGCTCAGCCACATAGGTCAAGAGCGTCTGCTCAGGGCGTCGGCCCATGGTGAAGAAAAACAACTCCATGCTTCTAGGGGCTTCGACCCTCGAGTCATACTTGAAGCACTTGTCGAGGAGGGCCAACACTCGAGGAAATCCATCTTCACTTTCTGCAAGTTTCTCGGCATCGGGTTCGACTTGGCGCCAAGAAACTCCATTCAAACTCGTCAGGAGGTTTATCGTGGCCTCCTTGGCTTTGTTCTGGATGCTCATTTTCTTTCCATACAGCAAAATTCGTGCACGCCATTCTTTGTAATTGCGGATGTTGTTGTCAAACAGGGGGATGAAATTATCCCTGGTCACTTCAAGGCCTCCTTGGGTTGAAGAGGCTTGTGATCCAGCCATCGTGATGGGGTGAATCGAAACAAAGGCGAAGAAGCGCAGGTTGAGGTGCCCTGGATGATTTCTTTCGCGCGCAGCTCCTGGAGCCCGGCAGCGAACCGGGCTCCGCTACCAATGTTGAGATCAACAATTGGCAGCTCAGTATTCGTTGAGTTGGAGTGAGGTGGTGGTGAAGTAGAAAAAGGGAAATGAACTGAACTGGTAGATCTGGTTGATCTCAGGTGCCGGCCCACGAAGTCCAGCCAAGATACGAATGCCGCACTCTTTTCCAAGGTGCAGGTGTCCTCGGGGGGTGTGTCTCACCTCAAGACGTAGCCACAAGGCTTACCATGCGCAAGCCCACCCTTAAGGTGAAATGGTTGCGGGCATGAAAACTCACATCACCTGGTTTCACGGCGTGAAATTCACAGTTTGTTTTTAAAGATTCCTGTCATAGACTTGACCTAGCCATTTACTGTTGGCCACAAGGACGGGCTTCCCGAGCAGTACCAAATCTGTATTCGCAATACCTTCCTGGAGATGAAGGAGTGCGCGTTGTGAGAGTGTCCAAAGCTATCATTTGTAGGTGTTTTTTTGTTGCACTTTTGCAAACAATGGAGGATGTTCCGACAAATGCTGGAGATCTTCCAAACAGAGAGGTGCATTGGACACTCGAGCAATGCGTGCAGATGTGCATGCGTGTGTGTGTGTGTGCCCTTGTAGTCACAGGGATTCTTTTTGAATTGTCTTCAGCAGGGGGGCAATCCCACATTGCAGTTGATTGCCCAACGAAGAGGGCTACAATGTGGCTGATATCCGGAAGGGACGCCTTCTGGACGTACTTGCAGTTTTACCTGAGTCAATTCCTCCTGAGCCCTGCTTCTAACTAGAACAAGATGTCCAGCCTTTGCATCGGTTCTTCATCGGCAGATGTGCATTGTGTCGATTTGGAGTTGGAGGCCATGTAGGCTTTGAGAGGCTTGGAACACCATACCATACTTTATTTGCACTGGTTTCTTAGGTTTTTACTCAGGCTGGCGTGTGGCACTGCTTTCAGTTCAGTACGCAAAAATCATAAGTGTGTCTCTCCTAGTGAGGGTCCAGGGTGCGCCCGAGGAGTGCCCCCTGTGGACCCGTCTAACGGGTGTTAGTCTTTGTCTCCCCTGCCCGGAGATGTACGTGTCCAGAGCGGACAGCAGGAGGCTTACGCCAAAGTTACTTGCCAAGACCTGACGGATTATTGATTCCAAGTAGGCAGCCTTCGGGCAAGCCATTAGGTGACCACAGCGGTCAGAGCAGCCAGCCATTTAGCGGCCGAAGCTTGTTCAAGGCTTGTTGGAGTCTGCTGGGGGCCTTAGTGTGATGAGCGTAAGCGGTACTTCATCGGGAACTACTTCATGTACATGCTTCACTGGACCTCATCCAAGTGATTCTTCAGCACCCGTTGGCCATTCTTTCCCTCCCTTTCTGGAACGTGTTACCTGCCCTCATCTTCAAGCGCAGCTACGGGGCTTGGATGCCGCTATCCTGCAGGCGATGCAGGTCACCCACACCGCTCTCCACTACACCCACGAGTTGATGACTACTTTTGGGTTGATTCATACCTTGCATCAAAGCCCGGAACAACTTGATGGCGAACTACGTCCACATCACCGTCGGCTTTTCTCATCGGTGCCCTCACCCTCCTCCCCACCGACGACTACACCCATGAGAGGCTACGATCGACCTCTTCATCGCCTTGACTCAGGTCCCAACCCCCCCTTGCGTACGCCTACTTCGTCTACTACCAGACCTTGTGGCATCACTGTTGTCACTACTCATGGACCTCATTCCCGCTGTGGTTTGGTTTAGCGGCACCTCGGACCGCTCTCGCTCTCGTTCACGTCTGAACCCGCGCTAGTTATTTGGTTTCACGACCATCTCCGGTTCGACCAGTTTTTGCAGAAGAACGGCCTTCTTTACACACCTTTTGAGGTCTTCGCCAATTGAGAACCACGCTTGGATTGACGCTCAACCATTGATACTTAACCTTTTCCATGTTATTCCCTGGCTCCAGCCTGCTTCTAGCTTGCAAACCTGTATCCCTTGCTATCCTCGCATTTGCAACACCCAGTTGGTTTCCCTTCCAAGATTAGACTCTACCTCTGATATAGTTCCCCTTCACCGGATTTCTACCCCTTACTGTTTCTTTTCTTTCATCACCTTGCCGCCATGGACAGCTCTGAATCTTCGCATGGCTCTCAACATCGTCGTCGCCGACGACGTGGACGTCCGGAGACCAAGATCTCGTGACCGTGCCCATGGTGAACCTGAACCTCCGGACTACGGCGATGATGAGCCTGCCGAGCTTCCTCAAGCTCCTAGCAATCTAACTCCTCCTGCTCCTGGGACGGAGATTGCCACGGTCCCATCGACTGACCCTACTCCACCTACTCCGCCTACTACAACTGGTGTGGGGACCCTTCTGCCGCCCGCGGCTCCAGGACCCATTCAAGTTTCAGTGCCTCGACCAACTCTTGCTCTTCGACCTCGTGTCTTCGTGCACCGAACACTTCTACACGGACACCCGTTCCCCGTCCTACTTACCCACCCACCCCACCTGTTCATATCAACCCAGGTCACATCGCACCACCTCCACCCCCACCTGCCAGCCCCTCGGCGACCACATGCACGCACTCAATCCGATAGTGCTCGATCAAGACCCTGCAGGACCAACCATCCCGTGCTCCCCATGGACGCCTGGCGCCAGTGATCGCCGCCTGCTTCAATTTTTACCAGGCTCTCCAGGATCAGGCCCCCTACTTCTTGACTGATATCGGCGCGCGCCGATTCCAGCTCACCAATTGCGTGAGACACCGATGTGGCGTGACCGATTTCGGGCTGATCTTTCACCCGCAGTGATGGTTGATCTTGTCAACAACTACAGACAACACCTCACCACCGCTGAAACTCACGTGCGCCGTGCACTCCAAACACTGGAGACGATCGGTCGCTTCCCAGCCAGAACTTTCCTCACTGACCCCACGACTGACCCCAACACTCAACCGCCCGAACCACCTTTCCACCCCACTTTTCCACCTGGCAGTGGCCTCGCAGTCACGCTCTGTCCCTAAGAGTTTCCACTAACCGAGTTCTTTGTGAGCAGGGGGCCAGCGCGTGGCATCACGACGCTGGCCAACGAAGCTAGTGATGTCATGGGAAGCAGTCAGAGACGTCTGACTGTGTACCTTCGTTGCGCGATATACCCCGCAACCCTTTGCCACCGTTGCGCAGCTGCGCCGCCGCCGCTTTCAGCGATCTCTGAGCGACTGCAACACCTTTGTTAAACATCTTCAATTCTTTCGGACTCATTCGCCTTTCTTTTCCCTCGTCCATTTTAGCGTGGAACAGATGTAACTGCAAACCCATTATCTAAGTGTGTGTATCCCTCGGAGTCACAGTTTAAATTCTTTTCAGCGGGGGGCCACTTTCCTTTGTTGTTTTCCGAACGTCTCGTACGAAACGCTCGTTTTGGGAGCTTCTGCGTTTTTGCGAATGTTTCGCACGAAACGCTCGTTTGGGGCGGCATGCTTCTGCGTTTTTGCGACTGTCTCGTACGAAACGCTCGTTTTCAAATGTTTGCTTCTGCGTTGTTGCGAATGTCTCGTACAAAAAAGCGCTCCTTTTTGAATGTTTGCTTCTGCGTTTTTGCAAATGTCTCGCGCTCGTTTTGGGAGATTTGCTTCTGCTTTTTTGCGAATGTCTCGCGCGAAACGCTTGTTTTGGGAGGTTTGCTTCTGCGTTTTTGCAAATGTCTCGCACGAAACGCTCGTTTTGGGCGGTTTGCTTCTTCGTTTTTGCGAATATCTCGTACGAAATGCTCGTTTTGGGAGGTTTCCCTATAGATCGGGCAAGACAATTTCCTAACTAATAGTTAACTCTGTTGTCTGCAGACAAAAATTTAACTAATAGTTAATTCTATCAAAGCAAAAATAGACAATTTTTGTTTAACTTTTTTGAGACAATTTTGGGGGCAATTCTATTTTTTTTATCTCTTTTTCAAACTATTTTTAAATTTCATTTTTAGTGACAATTTTATTTTTATACCTTTTTTGGTATCATTTTCTGGTGGACAATTGATTGAAAAAAAGGACTGTTTCAAATGAAAAACAATATTCTTGTGTTTTGTGGAAAGCTTGTTGATATGAATTTTCTGGAAAGTTGGGTAAGAGAATTGTGATAACTCAGAGTTCTTGTGCAATGTTGTAGGATTACTTTTAGACATGTGCGAAATCCATGGGGTAGGATTATTTTTTAAGTGCATGGGCCAGGTAGGATTACTTTGTGTGATGAGCCTGCTGTACTTGGTAGGATTACTTTGTGTGATGAGCCTGCTGTACTTGGTAG